TGTTAGGGAGGAGCGAAGGCGAAGTGGGGACTTGATGATTATGGGGGATTTCATCTACTTGAGCGTTATGTTTTTGCTTCAAACATTTTTAATATTTGGGGGGGGGGCGACTGGGGGAGCGAGCTTGTTTGTTTGGGCACGCACTTACCTAGATACGCCACTGCGTACCGGTATTTCACAGATTCGTAAAAGTATATGTAGGTTAAGCTTGCGCCTCCTAAATTCTCATTAATGCGTAAAAGGTAGATAATCATTGTATTTGTATTGTATTTGCTTGTATTTTTTTTTGTGGCACCATGTATTTTATTTATAATAAATTATATTTCTTATTTGCATTGTACAGAGGCCAATTTATTTTTCCTCTTTTTCTAAGTCTGTGGAATGATTTTGTTTGTTTTTTTTAAGACGTGTGCTGCTGACTTCATTTGTACGACCTACAGACTCATGCTTCATTAGTCTTTACAGTATTTCCTTTATCGGCGTATTAAAATTGCATAATGCGCCTTTAATTGTTTGACAGATTGATTGACACGATAAACAAGTGCATGGTTTATTGTAGACCACGAAGAGAACAATTTAGTTTTGTTGAGAGTTGTGAATGCAATGGAAGCGTGTCGTATTTTCGCCTTCCTCCTCACTATCAAAAATTTGTTTTGAAGATATGAAAATTATCTGGCAGTACTAATTCAAGTCATCGGAGAGGTGTCAATAATAACAAAATCGGATTTGAATGATTCGCATTGAGGTACATTGCAAAAATGATTAGCATTGTGCGAAGCCATTAATGCAGTAGTGCATATGATGTATTTGTGAAAATGATTAACATTGTGTGAAGCCATAGTTCAGTAGTGCATATGATGTATTGAAAGTGTTGGAGAGGGGAGGTTGAATTGTAGTCATAATTGTCAGGTATATTAAAAAAAGGATATTTACGACAGAAATGCAGTAGAACACTGAAAGCGAATGCTTGTGTAATGTATTTCTTGTAACGAGAAGTTACTCGCCATTTGATAAAAAATAGGCTATTTGAATTTCAAGTTTCAACTTATTTTATTAACACAATCTTTTAGTAACACGATATAAAAACAGATTGTAAGATACATAATAAAAACATTTATTCTGGACATTGTAACCCCAAAGTTTGGGCCCCAGATTATAGAGAGCCCTCCTTACTTATTTCATTGTGTTATCCATACCCAACTCAAGATTAAAACCTACAATCCTGGCTCATTTTGCCCGCAACTCGCTGCACTAACATAATCTCATTATGCAAATCTCTCACTCAATTATTGCCTAAGGACTGGTTCTAGCTCCTTGAAGATCTTTCGAGTCAAATTCTGAAAAATTGAATATTGAAAACACCGGAATAAATATAAATCATTTGGAATTTGAGTGTTTGTTACTGATCTTCAACCAGAAACGTTACGGTAGGCCTACAAATTGGGGTTCGTCGATTAACAGTTCGATCGCATTAACCAAATTCATACAGAGATTGCATGAAAATCCCAGATTATGTAGCATGTGAGGAAGAAATCACCAAGTAGAGCGGTGCCTATAAGGCAATGAAACAGATATTTATTTCTGTACGTTCGCTGTAAACTTGAGATCCCTACGCGAAATTTTTACAATGGATGATCATGATTTATAATGCCAATTAAAAAAAAATAATGTGTTGGGAACGCATGACCGACCTAAAATGTTAGAAATTGAGGGTCGGCATTTTTTTTTTTTTTGACTACAACGAAAAATATTTTTTAATGAGCTAAAAAGGCTGGAATAGGCTTATCTTCCGACGGTAGGCGATGCGACAGTGTTATGCGATCATTTTGCTCCTTAATATAGATTTTAAAATGGTCTATTATTGTGTATTTTCTGCCTTTTAGCATAAACACATTATCGACCTACCCATTTTCCCCACGAAACGTGGCCAACACAAGATTTTGTTTGTATTCTGTTGTCTTATGTCATATTTTTAAACTTTGTCAATTTTTTGGGTAGATTCTTCGCAAACATGTCTAAACATACCTAAAAAATTCACTGATTAAGAAAAAAATGGGTGCCAGTTTTTTTTATTCACTTCTAGGGCCTCCATTTTGAATTTCAAAATGGCCGCTGCCGAAAATTATTTTTTAACAAAAAAAATTGCAATTCGATATATATATATCATACAATAGTCATTTTATTTTATCTGATATCATATGATGCATTGGGAAGAAAAGAAGAGCACAAAAAATAACTCCCCTCCCAGAAATCTTGCTCCCCACACATCTCCACTGGATATTCTTTTGCAAAAAAAAAGTTTTTCTCAAGTACTCACAAAATTGTCACATATCACTATATTTTGCCATCTGAATCTCCCTAACTTATTCACTGAGCACTGACACTTAACCTTCGCCCCTTAATTCCCCCTGCCCCACCACCCCGTCCCGGGCCAGGCCCCCTCCACAAACTTCTTTGAAAATTAAAAGAATGGAGATAAAAGAGGAAAGGTATATTCAAATTTAGGCCTAGGACTGTGAGTGCCATTTCCGGCCATCTAGTTGCCATAGCCACAACATTTTGTTCCTCGGTTTCCATAATGTTGGACAGGGGAAGATTTAGGGAGGGGAGAGTTCCCCCTGTTTTGCCACTGTCATCTTTTTTTGTGTGTGTTACCAGTATAAATACAAAATCGCATACAAATACTAAGTGTAACAGCATGTACTGTACATCAATCATGTCATTACTAGACATATAGGCCTATCTGTATAATAATAATAATAATAATAATAATAATAATAATAATAATAATAATAATAATAATAATAATAATAATAATCATCATCATCATCATTTAGGCCTATATGAGATTTTTGCTCCCTCGTTTAAAAAAGTCTGGATTCTCCATCTGTGGGATGGTGCCATGGAAACTTTGATGCACAAATCCATTCATTCAAATCACCTTTACGAGATTTAAAGAAAATGTATAACTTATTGGATTCAGAAATATTAAGTCATTTAAATTATAAGTATTTTGTACCATTGATATACAATAAGAGTATCTTTCACTAATATACCTTGAAGAAAATATCTTTTATTGGATTCAGAAATATAAAGTCATTTAAAGTATTAGTATTAACTGATATACAGTTTTAAAATATTTTGAGATGAATGGTGGTGTAAACGAACTTAAGATAAGTAGTACATTAACGTTGGCAGCGCTACACATTGTCTTTGTTAAGCGCGCCAGTAGCAGTTCGAAGAGAAGGTATCCTTCGTTGCTGCTCACAATTATGTTGGTAGAAAGTTGCGTACTTGTCAACTTATACACTGTAAAAAAAAATGTTTAGGTGTTTAGGCTTTATGTGTTTATAAAAGTGTTTAGGTGTTTATTTATTTAACAAAAATAAAACAGTATGTTTAGTTGTGGCCTGGTTGCATGTTAAAAAAAATTAAACGGTGTTTATTGGCTCTTTGTTACGAGTGTTTAGTTGCAATATGGAGTCACCGTGTGTTCAAAATATGAATATAAATAATAATATAATAATTTCTATTTAATATTAATAAATTAAGTAATTTAAATGTATTTTCAGCAAAAGCAATTAGCTTTCATAAGTCTATTTGTAATTTATTATATGTAAGCGGGCGAGAGATGACTCCACTTTGAGTTATGTTATGGGTACGTGTACCTCAATCATTCAAAAACCGAAAATGATGATTATTGTATTTTGTTTTTCATTTGAAAATTGTTTATTGGGAAAAAATATGAATAATGTTGATAATCATAAACAGCATGTTTAGAATAATTTTTATATACAACGTTTATTGCCGGTATTCGTAGTTTAATGCGCATGCGCATGTATGCAAATTGACTCGACGTCATCAAAAACTTTCGATGGGATCATCACGCCATGATTTAACGCGCGCCGATTGCATTGTACAACACAGATCTTCCCGCTTCTTTCAGGCTGTCAGGTGTCACTGATGCTAAAAATGCTGAATAATTTGCAGGTAACTTGTTCGAATTAATTTGATGGATGTCATTTGGTGGCCTAGGCTAGCCTTCAGTGCCTTGAAAAAATACAGACAGCTAGGCCTTAGCCTAGACTAGCCTAGGCCTACCTGTAACCCAGGCTAGGCCTAAGGCCAGCCAGAACTACATTCTGGGCTCTAGGCCTAGGTTCATATTGTAAATTTAAACGTA